CTCTGCCTCCCGAGTGCTGGGATTAAAGGCGTGCGCCACCAACGCCCGGCGTGAAATATATTTTAATCTCTAGATATTCAACCTAAAGTCTGATTTTTGCTTTGTTTTTTCTATTTTGTGAGACAGGGTTTCTCTGTGTCACCCTGAATGTCTTGAACTCATTCTGTAGACCAGGCTGACCTCAAACCCAGAGATCTGCCTGCCTCTGCCTCCTAGGTTTTGTTTTGAGACAGTGTCATGATGTAGTCCAGCTTAGCCTCAAATTCACAGTCTAAATGGAGATAAAATTCTGGCATTGTTCGTATCCCCTCCACACACAGATGATATATGCCTCTTTACATAATGCTTGCTGCAGGAAAAGTAGAGGTGGGGCTGGAGAGATGGCCCAGAGCTTAAGAGCACTGGCTGCTCTTCTCGAGCTCCTGAGTTCAATCCCCAGCACCCACATGGCGGCTCACAACCATCTGTAATGCACAGATGTTCATTCAGACAAAACACCCATATACATAAAGTACATTTTTTTAAAAATAGAGGCTAATTTTGAAGATCATTTCACAAAATTACTTTATAAACCATATTAGATTTTTCTTACAGAAAATGATTATTTCCCTTATAAATAAGAAGTGATCCATGTTAGCAGTAAGGACAGAAGGATAAGCTCGAGCAGTAAGGACCGTAACTTTTAGCTCTACTCTGGCTTGAGAGGATGGTTTACCGAATGTATCCTGGTTCCTTTTTCCCTTCTACTACTTCTTTGTCAACTTCCACACATACAATGTCAGAATTAGGAACTTCGAACATTGGTTCCAGTAACAGCTTCTCCTAAAGAGAGAAAAGGTAAGAAATTAGGAGGAAAATTGTATACAAACATTTCAATTTTAATCAATGTAAAAGCCTTCCTATTTGTTATATTAAAACAGCTTCTAATTACTTTCAGGTCATTTTACAAATAAGTCAGCTGCCTACTGTCCTGCCTCTCTAGGCACCATGCACACACAAAGCCTGTACTTTCAGACTCAGATGCTGCTGCCCAGCATGCCTAGCCTTTTCTATGATATGACTGAGGCCATCAACTAATAACCCTTACTTTTATGTCCATTAATCCTAAAATCACTTCTACCAAATTCTTCAATTTCAAACTGATTCAAATGAACATCTGCCTCAAGTGCAGCAGTAGACCTTAAGAAAACTTTAGAAAACCAGTTTTCCTATAGGAGGGGTGGAGGGAATTGCTGACACATCCAATTTTCCAGGCATGTCAACGCAATGGCCTGTTCTTCCAATTTGCGTGTCTATGTCTGTAATACCTTAACCACCAGGGCCTCACCACACGGTAGTGTCAAACTGCTTGTGGTAAATGCATGGTTCACAACTGAAGTCATACTGAGATGAGGCTGGGACAAGAGTGAAATTCTTAACAGGGAAGATAATCCTATACTTGCTTTGGGAGAAGACAGTGAAACAGTAATCCATGCCAGATCTGGGAAATAGGGCAGAGAAATTTCAAGAGAGGAACAAGTGAGGTCAGGAAGTCTGTGTCCTCCCTAGGGTCTCTAAGAAAAAGCTCACAGCACACTGGAAGCACAGGGGCTAAAATGGGGATTTCAACAGGTCTGAGAAGGAGTGGTCAAAGGCTATGTGTAACGCTGGACATGGTAGTACATCTGTAATCGAAGAGCTTGTGAGACAGACACAGGAGTTCAAGGCCATAAACGGCTGCCCGTTTGAGACCAGCCTGAGCTACATGAGATCTTGCTCTCTATATGCCCCATCCCACCCCAAATTGCCCTGTAGAATTTTCTCAAATTCTCCTTCCAATGATTCAGATTTTCTTTTCCTTTCTTTCTTTTTTTTTGAGACAGGATCTCTTTACATAGACTTGGCTGACTTACAACTCATTATGTAAACCATGCTGGCCTCAAATTCAGAGCTCTGCCTACCTCTGCCTCCCAAGTGCTGGAAGAGGTATGTGCTACCATACCCAGCTGATTCATATTTTCTGTATTTCTTCAATATAGTGTGTGTATGTGCCCTTGGTTGCAAACACCTTAAACTTTAAGGCTTACAGAGTTCTTTTTGTTTACAATTTTGACTTTCTTTTCTTTCTTTTCTTTTTTTTTTTTTTTTTGAGGCCATGTCATGCTGTCTGCAATGGGGATTTCAATGAAAGCCTCACACATCTGTTTTATGTTCCAGTTTTATGTTTAATCTAGCTATGGCTTTCAAAGCATCCTCAGTAACATTCAGTTCACACTACAGACAGATAAAAGACAAATGAAAACTTAAGCTAGTCTTTGGCAATCTTTTCCTAAAACAGTAAAACTGCATTTGATCTACTAACTGTAATGATTATTAATCTTCCCAGAATCACAGAATTTTATGACTAAATGGAACCAATGCCTATTTCATAGACAAGTTCCAGAAAGTTAAGTAAACTGAGACTCAGAAACAAGGCAAGAAGAGGTTGATGACAGGCTGGCCTTGACTGAACTCACTATATAACTGAGAAGGCATGATTCTCCTGCCTTCACCCCTTGAGTATTAATTAGCATTACAGATATGAGTCATCCTACCTAGCTATATGATGCTCGGTGTAGAACTGATGGTTTCTTGCATTCTAGCAAGCACTCTACTTTCTGAGCTACATCCCTAGCCCAAATTTTGTGTGTGTGTGTGTGTGTGTGTGTGTGTGTGTGTGTGTGTTCTAAAATTTGAACCCAGTACTTCATGCATGCTAAACGCATTCACACTATTTAGTCATGCTTACCAGTCACAAAATACCTTTCTCTGGGAGATGAAGCAAAATAAAATCTGACTACCCCATCAGTTCTATACACACACACACACACACACACACACACACACACACACACACACACACAATAGAAATAAAAAAGCTTTAGCACAGATCTCTAGATAGTACTTCCAAAAGACAAACAGGAAAGCTTAACAGTCTCAAGACTTGGACAAAGGGTAAGGGGAGATATCTCAGGGAATAACGCACTGAGTTCAGATTCCCAGCACCTACATAAAAGTTCAGTGCGTGTGGCAGCCTATCTATAACTTTAGTGCCTGAGAAGCAGAGAAAGCAGATCCCTAAGACAAGCAGGCTAGCTAAACTATACAAGTTGGCAAGCTCTAGGTTGAACACACACACACTATATTGAAGAAATACAGAAAACATGGATCAGCTGGGTATGGTAGCACATACCTCTTCCAGCACTTGAAAGGCAGAGGTAGGCAGAGCTCTGTGAATTTGAGGCCAGCATGGTCTACATAATGAGTTGTAAATCAGCCAAGTCTATGTAAAGAGACCCTGTCTCAAAAAAAAGAAAGAAAAAGAGACCAATTCTCAGTAAATAAAATGGCGACACCTGTAGGGGCATGGTCTTTTAATCTCAGTACTTGGGAGAAGCAGGCACATCTTTGTGAGTTTCAGGCCAGCCTGGACTACAAAGTGAGTTTCAGGACAGCCAGAGCTACATACTGAGACCCTGTCTCAACATCCACCCACTCTGCAAAAAGGAAAACACCCAACATCAACCTCTGGCCTCCAGGAACACGCATCACGCATCTGCATGTGTGTGAACACACACGCGCGCGCGCGCGCGCGCACACACACACACACACACACACACACACACACACACACGCGCGCGCTGGCAAGTGTAAAATAAAACAAAACACCAAATTTAGATCAATGACAATCTAGGGGGTTTGCTGATAATTTTTTAACTCCAACTTACCATTATGGACCGAAGACCTCGTGCACCTGTTTTTCGTTCCAGTGCCAATCTAGCTATGGCTTTCAAAGCATCCTCAGTAACATTAAGTTCACACTACAGATAGAGAAAAGACAAATCAGAACTTAAGCAAGTCCTTGGTGATCTTTTCCTAATACAGTCACATAGCATTTGACCTACTAACAGTAGTGACCATTATTAATCTTCCAGATTCACAGATTTTTATAAATAATAGAACCAATGACCATTTCAAAGATAAACAAGTTCCAGAGAGTTCCGTAAACTGAGACTCAGGAACAAGGCAAAAGATAGAGGCTAGGCTAGCCTCTATCTGACAGACCTTTACCCTTGCAGACTAGATAATCACCATCACTGAGACCTCACTGCAGATGGTTTTCATTTGCTGTAGTTCTACTAGGGGCTGAACACAGGGCCTTGCCCTCCACCGCCAAGCTACTCCCCTAGCTGTCTAAGTGCACGTTAAAGAGTGTAGCACTCTCACCCTATATTTTAAAAAGGCAAAATTTCAGAAAAGTCTGTCATTTTCATGATGTTTTAGAATGTCATCTTCATGGTGAGATGGTGACATATGATCTAGAGGCAGGCAGATCTCTGTGAATTCTAGGCCAGCCTGGTCTACCAAGTAAGTTTCAGGACAGCCAGGGCTGTTATACAGAGAAGCAGCCCTGTCTCAAAACAAAACAAAACAAACAAACAAACAAAAACAAACCCAAAAAAATCTACCAAAACAAACAAACAAAAACCCCTAGATTGTCATCCTCAAGTAGTATGCTTTTAATCAATTAACCAATAGTAGTATCACTATTATGAGTCACAAGTTTGTTCCACAGGCTACATATGTAGCTCAGTGGTAAAGTGCTTATATGGAAATGGAGATAAAACTTATATTTAGAGATGCTAAGTTCATAAAATTCAAAATATTTTTTATCTGACTGGATGTGCTGGCTAGAGTGACCTCCATGTTTGGATGTAAGAACTAATAAATTTGCTGGGCGGTGGTGGCGCACGCCTTTAATCCCAGCACACAGGAGGCAGAGGCAGGCGGATCTCTGTGAATCTGAGTCCAGCCTGGTCTACAAAGTGAGTTCCAGAAAAAGCTCCAAAGCTACACAGAGAAACCCTGTCTCAAAAAAAAAAAAAAAAAAAAAAACCCAAAACAAACAAACAAACAAAAAAAAATAATAAATTTACTTAGGTAAAGTATATAAAAATATACACAATATACACAGTATGTGAACAGTAGAAGCACTTAGAATAACAAAGCTGAAAGAACAATTCTGTGTATTTGGCTTGGAGAAGCTGAGGTAAGCTGACACTTCTCTGTATCTCTGTATTTCATGCTCCAGTGGTCATTTTAATGCTGAATGTGACACACTGTGTCTTCCTCATCTACAATAAGTGAAGAATAAGATGGTAATGTAGATGAATGGCTTCTCTTGTAATAATGTGGGCTAACTTAATAGAATTCTAATATAGAAAAGAATCACAAATTAAAGGAAAAAGGCAAACCTTACCTTATCCATGCTGAATAAGGCCTGATATTGAGGAATAACTGCATTACGTGGCTCGGTTAGTATTTGTACAAGTGTCTTCTCATCTAGACTATGCAGAGGAACCACCACGGGTAACCGTCCCACAAACTCAGGTATCATGCCAAATTCAATGAGATCTCTGGCTTCCACATGACGGAGTAATCGATCTTTTTCTTCAATATCTTGATGAGTATTGGACTCTCCACTTCGGTTAGCAAGGTCTGCAGCAGCTGCAGCCCGCCTGCCCTTCCCCAGATTGGACGGTGTTCCAAATCCAAGGTACTATCCAAGAAACCACAGAGGTTATAAACAGTAGATAGATGGTGCAAAAGTGCTTTACATCTATAAGTCCCATATGAAACAGGGTCACAGAGGTTAAGTACTTTGGCCAAGGCTTGTTTCTCTAAGTAGCAAAGCTAGGTCTTAAATTTCCCACTAAATTCACAGTTAAATGAAATGACTTAATTCCCAATAGGTTAAAATTATGTGGCAAATCCTCTTTTGACTCGTTAAATAATCAACTTTAACATTACACTTAATTTTACATATTATGTCTACCATCACGCATAACTAATTCATGGGTATTTGGGAATCATATTCCTTATTACTCTAAAATTCAAACAACTAGGAATATATATTAGATCTTTCTAAGAAAATCCAACAGCTGGTAACCAGTAGACATGAGAACTGAAGCTGAGTGTCCATCCAGTGAAACTTTATGTTTCTCATGAAGAATTTCAAAGGAAAAGCTCAGAAAAACTTACTTTTTCATTTTTCCTTCTGCTGATGATTCTGTCTAAGCCATTAAAAGCACCAGATGCTACAAACAGGATATTTGTTGTATCAACTTGAACTGTCTCTCCACGTAGTTTTCGAGAATTCTTTTCTGGAACATTGACTATTGTGCCTTCTAGAAGTTTTAATAAACCCTGATAATGAATGAATTATAGCATTACCATACGTAAAGACATTATTATACATCAAACAATAGGATTCAATGGGGGAAAATAATACATGGTCATGGTCAATGAGTGTAACTAATGAAAATTCCTCCATTTCTATAACCCCAAATAAAAATAAATTGCATTTATCACTTTGGAACTTCATAAATAAATTGCAACCTAAGGAAGTTGACTTTGATGGTAGAGCCTCCCTCCCCTGCCCCCCATCCTCATGTCTCTATGTAGCCCAGGCTGGTCTCAAACAGTGATTCTCTTGCCTCAGCCTCTCCAAGTGCTGGATTACAGGCAAGAGCCACTTTACCTAGCTTGATGGTAAACGCTTAATAAAGACAGAATGGTGGCTCTGTAAAATGGTAATAAAATAGTGCAAATATTCAAAATTGAAACATATCGATCTTTCACATAAATTCTTTAATTCTAACTTAATTCTATAGTCAATGTTGAGTATATTTTGAGATGTCTTCATAAAAAAATTATTCAGCATAGTTGGTAATAGTCATAATTCTGTGTCTGTCAAAAAAAGTTGGTTTGGCACAGCTAATTGCCATTAGAGAATAAGTTTATTAAGGTGACCAATAGATCATTGTGACTTTAATTATGATTCTACAAGAAATGAAAGGCTATTTTATACCATCTTCTTTAGGAGACAGTGTGTCATGGAGCTAATCTCAAGCTTACTATGTAGACAACGATGACACTGAATTCCTGATCCTCCTTGCTGCACCACCCAGGCCAAGAGATTACAGATGTGTACATCTGCTTTCTTTTCTGTCTCATCTCTCCTTTCCTGTTTCTTTTGGTGCTAGGGATTGAGCCCAGGGCCTTGCGCATACAAGGCAAACAAGTTGTTTACCACTGAGCTACATCTCAGCCTTTATACTAATCCTGTAATGAAACATGGGTGGGTTATTCATACCTAGTCTTCAGTCTTCTAGAAATGTTTAAGAGGGCCTTTGAAGAATAAAACTAAAACTAATAAAGATCAATCTTGCCGGGCGGTGGTGGCGCACGCCTTTAATCCCAGCACTCGGGAGGCAGAGTCAGGTGGATCTCTGTGAGTTCGAGGCCAGCCTGGGCTACCAAGTGAGCTCCAGGAAAGGCGCAAAGCTACACAGAGAAACCCTGTCTCGAAAAACCAAAAAAAAAAAAAAAAAAAAAAAAGATCAATCTTAGCTTTTTCTGTTTTTAAAAATATTTTAAATTTCCTAAGAAATGAATGTTCTTATTTAAAATCATTAATAACCTTTTTAAAGGATCTGACCTACTTTAAATGGCATGTAAAGCTAGGTGGCACATGCCTGTAATCCCAGCATTCAGCAGGATGAAGGAATACTGCTGCAAATTCAAGGGCAGCCTGGACTACACAGACCTTGTCACAAAAAACCCAAATTAAATAAATAAATAAAGTGGTGTATGATGTTTAGGGTGGGAAAAATAAAACAGAATCTAATTAAATGTGAAACCAAACGTACAATACTTGGGAAGCTGATGTATTCCCTTCTTTTTAGTGGGCTTGAACAAAATATTCAACTGCTTACTTGCTGAACGCCTTCTCCACCTACATCCCGTAACTGATGAATGCCTGGCACACTGCCAATCTTATCTACTTCATCCAGAAAGACAATTCCTACAATTTAAGGAGGATTCTATTTATAATAAGAAAAAGATAGGCACAAGATAGTCTCAGCTTTAAAAGACTGGATAGCTACAAAGCAAAGTAAGTCAATTTTTTTACACTTAACATTGATCATTAAGAACATACTACTATCTTTCTCATTCATCTTTTCATGTAACTATTATGGAATTGATTCTATAGCATATAATTTTAGAATGATAACCAAAATGCTCTCTGACAAAAGTCTATAGTCTATTAGTCTATATGACTAATAATGAATTCAATTTTTTTTCTTTTGGAAGGGAAGATACAGCACTGTAGGCATGAGGTATTTGCCAGAACTAGTAAAACTTCTGTTGATTCTTTCCTACCTCTATTCCCCCTAAATACAAATATATTTACTTATTTAGTGCATATATGTGAGCATGTGTATGGGAACGCACGCATTATAACAGGTGGTGGTCAGGAGACAGCCTGCAGAGTTGGTTCCCTCCATCCACTGTGTGGGCTGTGAGGAGAGAACTTAGGTCACCAGGCTTGTTGGCAAGTGCTTCTGTCTGCTGAGCCATCTCAATGACCTATCACCTAGACCTTGTCTTAGCACAGTGGTCCTCAACCTTCCTCATGCTCTGACCCTGTAATACAGTTCCTCATGTTGTAGTGACCCCAACCATAAAATTATTTTATTGTTACTTCACAACTGTAGTTTTCCTGTTATGAACACTTATCCAGCCTAAATTCTTGTCTTTGTCCCTGTCCCCAACCTTTCCCCACCCCCAGCACTGGAAATCTGGAGAGGAGTAAGAACAGGAAAACCAATGGGAATATTAAAACCTAAAAGGATAGTAACAGCCTGTTGGCACACTACCAGCTACCTTTGCAGCCATAAGACAAAGCCAACAATCATGCTAGAATGGGTAACATCAGGTACTTTCCAATAATTGGAAAATGTTAGCCCTTGACTAACATTGCTTTCCAGAGACACTTCAACAGCTACACTTAGAACATACCTTGTTGTGCTTTCTCTACATTGTAATTGGCATCCTGGAGCAGTTTGGCGATCACAGATTCAATGTCTTCACCCACATATCCAGCCTGAGTCAAAGTCGTGCAGTCACAGATAGCAAAAGGAACATCAAGGCATTTAGCTAAAGTTTGTGCCAGCAGAGTTTTACCTACAAACAAAAACAGTAGCTAAAAAATACACTGTCTTACAATTTTTCTACAAAAATAAACAAGTATATAATGAAGCCTGAAACATTCTTATATCTGTTCTCTACTATATTCAGATCTTACTAACTTTATTCCTTTTACAAATTTAGAGGTTGATATAATTAATATGTTAATTAAAAAGTTAGGAATCAGCCCAAAGGGCCACACCAATATCTCAAAGTCAGTTTTAGGTCTAAATAGTGAACACTCATGATGTAGCCAGAGCAATCTTGGATACTGTTCTTTTTTGAGGCAGATTCTCATGCTGCAGACCAAGCTGGCCTCACACTTGTGGCAATCCTTTGGCATCAGCCTCTCAACTGTTCTGATTACATGCAGGCCTGAGAGCCAGGATCCACTATAGTTACAAGGTATAAGTTACAGTATCACTCTCTATTTTTAAAAAATGAGTAGTCAAGTTTCCCAAAATGTTATTTACCTGACCCAGTTGGTCCAAGCAGCAAAATATTACTTTTTTCAAGTTTTATGTCATCATGAGAAGAATCCAGCACTTCGCCTCCCCGTTTTTCCTGAGGCATTTGCTGATTAACCTGCTGCTGCATCGATGCTCCCAGGGCGTTGCCATGCGGGCTTATTCCAGCAATCTGAAGCAACTCTGGGGAAGAGATCAACTGGATTACTGGAGCGGCACCTGAAATTACTTGAGAAATGTTCCATATAATCCTGCATCCCAAACAAGCCACTACTGGAAACAAATATGCAGCACTGCTTTACAGAAAAGAGAATTTCAAATTGACCAGTGACAAGTGGTTTTGTTTTGTTTTTTTTTTTTTTAAATATGTTATTTATTCTTATTTTACGTGCACTGATGTTTTGCATGTATGTCTGTTTGAGAATGTCAGCAGCCCTGGAACTGGAGTTACAGACAGGTGTGAGCTGCCATGTGGGTGCTGGGAGTTGAATCCGGGTCCTCTGGAAGAGCTGCCAGTGCTCTTAAACGCTGAGAACTCTCTCCAGGCCCAGTGACAAATGTTAAATACAGTGAGCTTCAGAGAACTCTCCTCCTCATTTACATCAGTGTGTGAGCACGCGCTCCACAGAGATAATGCGACAGAACGGGGCTTCAGCTGCTAGCCTTCCTTTGCCTCTGAAGAGCCGCATAATCTTGCACAAGTTACTTTCTGACTCTGTTTTCTATCAACAAAACAGCATTATTACCTGTCCTATTAACTTCAAACATACAGTCGGATATTATGAGGATATAGTACAATTGATTTCAAGATAATATGCAAAATTAAGATCTGTCTGTCTTAGTTGAATGGCTTGATCAGTTTGGGAGGCAACTAGGCAGTGGGACCAAGTCCTGTGCTCATTGCATGAGTTGGCTGTTTGAAACCTGGGACACTTGGCTCAATCTGGGAGGAAGGGACTGGACCTGCCTGGACTGAGTCTACCAGGTTGATTGCAGTCCTCGGGGGAGGATTTGCCCTGGAGGAGGTGGGAATGGGGGGTAGGCTGGGGGTAAGGGGAGGGTGTGGGAGGGGGGAGAATAGGGGAACCCGTGGCTGATATGTAGAACTGAATGGTATTGTAAAATGAAAAAAAAAAAAAAAAAAAAAAAAAAGATCTGTCTGTCTTACTTTCTGTACAAATGAAAAGCTGAACTACAGAGAAAAAGAAAAACAACGAGACCAAGTCTGGAAGAACACACTTTTAGGGAAGCAGAAGTTGGCAGATGTCTTGTGAGTTCAAGGGAAGTCGGGACCACATGGTGAGTTCCAGGCCACCAGAGTTACATGGGGAGAGAAGAACCAAGAAGAAAGGAGGAGCAGGGACAGGGACTCAGGAATCGGGTCCTAGTCTTAGTCTGGCTGCCTCCTGTTTATGCAATCATGGAAAACTGCCTAACCTCCCTGGACACGCTTCCGCTGTGACACAGGCCTTTTCCAGTCTGCTCTTCTTTTAAGAATGTTTCTTTTAGTATAGCAGGAAACCAGGTGTGGTAATCTCAGTATCAGTAACCTTATCTGAATATCTGACTTTTACTGGGTATCAACAGGATCTTTCTGTGCCCTTCAACAGACAAAATATGTTACTAGAAAAGACGATAGTGCCGGTGAAATATAAGTTTACAAAAATAAATGTTTATTCTTGTTTTCTCTTGAATAGGAGAAAAAACCCAGAGTCTTTAAAGACTATCCACCTCAGCAAATAACCAAATTGTCCCCAGTTCTCATTACTTAAGGTATCTGTGACTATGATCTACTTGGTTATAATTTTGTACTATTTTATATTTTATGTGTATGAATGTCTTAACTGCATATATGTGTACCATGTACATGCCTATGTCCCTGGAACTGGGGTTACAGATGGTTTTGAGCCACCATGTGAGTGCTGGGAATTGAACTCAGGTCCTTTGCAAAAGCATCAAGTATTCTAAACCACTGAGCCATCTCTTCAGCCCGCTGGGTTTATTTTTAAGTTGCTTCTAAGAAATGAGTTAAGAATATCATAGTGCTGTCTAGTAACCATTTTAAACAAGCCAATAGACAGAATAAATAGTTCAGCAGTCATACCAATTTTTTGTCCTATTCTATCAAGTATCACTTTGAAAAAAATCATCATGCTTAAGGCAAAAGGTATTCTAGTCATTAAGATTACTAGTGCAATATATACAGAACTCCAGTTGTAAAGACCTAAGAGTTAGTAATTCACAATATTATTATCCACATTAGGCAAGAAGAAAACATACTCTTCTGTCTGAGGTTAGTTGTTATTAGTAAAATTTTCTTTTTAGTTTCCAGAAAATCCAATTTGGAGCTGTGGTGATAAGGAAAGGGCTTGACTTTGATTAGTTCTACCCGATGGAGAAAAATTATTTAAGTAAATAATTTCCTAAAAATTACAAGAGATAGCTGGGTGGTGGTGGTGCATGCCTTTAATCCCAGCACTTGGGAGGCAGAGGCAGGTGGATCTCTGTGAGTTCGGGGCCAGCCTGGTCTACAAAGCGAGTTCCAAGACAGCCAGGACTGTTATATAGAGAAACCTTGTCTCCAAAAAAACCAAAAGAAAAAAAAGAGAGATACATAAATTACAATGGAGCTACATGATACATGTGTTTTATTTATTCAATGACAGGTTAAAACACAGCAGGAGCTGGTGTTTGGAAAAGATTAACTGATCACACATAAAACAGCACAGTGCCTATAAGATAAGGCTTATTATTATAGAAGCACTTGCTCTTATTACTGCTATTTTCCAATAATTTAATTATTCATACTAAGTCTAGAGATATAGCTCAGTGGCAGAATACTTGTTTAGTATGCATGAGGACCCAAGGTCAATCTTCAGTACTGAGTGTGTATCTTGCATGTGTATCTGTGCACCACTTGCTTGTTTGGTGCCTGTGGAGGCCAAAAAGGTCATTGGATCCCCTGGAACTAGAGTCACAGACAGTTATGAGCTGCCATTGGAGAGCAGCACTGTTCTTAGCCACTGAGGCATCTTTCCAACCCTACTAATTGTATGTCTTAATTTTATTATATCATTCATTGTACATCAGTATTTCCACAAGTTTAAAAATAACTTAATCAAGATATGGTGGCACAGCTGGGCGATAGTGGTGCACACCTTTATTCCCAGCACTCGGGAGGCAGAGGCAGGCAGATCTCTGTGAGTTGGAGGCCAGCCTGGTCTACTGAGTGGTTCCAGGACAGCCAGGGCTACACAGAGAAGCCCTGTCTCAAAGAAAAAATTAAAAAAAAAAAAAAAAAAGGTGTGGTGGCACATATCTGTAACTTCAACACTCTACAATTCAACCTTGTCTACACAACTAGATCCTGTATCAAGCACACACATGCATGTATCCATGCACTCATTCACAAGAGACAATATAATTTTCTCTTAAAATTTTTTTTTAGTTTAGCTGGGTAATGGTGGCACATGCCTTTAATCCCAGCACTTAGCAGGCAGGCAGATCAGAGTTTGAGGCCAGCCTAGTCACAGAGCAAGGGCTACACACAGAGAAACCCTGTCTTGAAAAACACAAAGAAAACAATTTTAATTAGGCATGTTTAGTCTTGATTTTTCATTAGATTGGTTGGTTTCTCTCTATGCTATGATAGACATGTTGAAGCTAAAAGACAACTCTGAGAGTACATTATCTCCAGCAGATGGAACCAAGGTATTGAACACAGGTCGGCAAGCTTGCACATTCAGTATTTTTACTCATCTGGCCATCTTGCTGGTTCACAAAAAGGAGGCTGGAGAGATGGCCCAGTAGTTAAGAGTATATACTGCTCTTGGACAGGACCTGTGTTTGGTTTCCAGCACCCACAAAGGGTAGTTCACAACTACCTGGAACTCCAGCTCCAGGATCCAACACCTCTGGCTTCCATGGACATCTGCAACTTTGTGGAATATTATTTTAACTGGGCAAAGATGTATTACATTTGTTTATGCTGCAGAATATTAACCTTAACTGTGTAAGGGTGTGTTTCATTTGTTTATTCTGCATTTGTTTAAAAATGTAAGGATGTGTGCTTAATTATGAAAAGATATGTTGCATTTGTTTTGCCTTGCCTGCCTAAGGCACTTAATTGGTCTAATAAAAAGCTGAACAGCCAATAGCTAGGCAGAGAAAGGATAGGCGGGGCTGGTGGGCAGAAAGAATAATAGGAGGAAAAATCTAGGCTAGAGAAGAACAAGAGAAGGAGAAAGGAGAGAATGAAGGAGATGCCTGGGTCCAGGCAGGCATCCACCAGCCAGTCAGACATGAGAAGCAATGGAAGTAAGATATACAGAAGGAAGAAAGGTAAAAACCCCAGAGGCAAAAGGTGGATGAAGAGAAACAGGTTAATTAAAGTTAAAAGAGCTATCCAGAAATGAGCCTAAGGGTAGGCCAAGCATTCATAACTAATAAGTCTCTGTGCTGTGATGTGGGAGCTGGCTGTGGCCCCAAAGAAAAAGCCTGGTACAATCTGCTCTCATCTATCTTTACTTACAGAAACATACACGTGTATATAAGTAAAAATGAAGGAAACCTTAAAAAATATCAGAAATATACAAATTATGAAAAACTGTTCTAAAGTTATACATTACATATAATAGATTTATTTAAATAATACACAAGGAAGATTTAAATCCTCTTTCTTAGTAATACACAAGGTGAATGAATACATCATTGCTGCTACTGAAACGCTTCACTGAGGCAAAGCTCAGAAACAATCTCGAGTACAGACAGGACCCAAGGGAGGGGACTTACTTGTAAATCTGTACTCATCCTCCCGTCTTCTGATTTCTAACTCTAAGAAAGGAGATAAAAAGGGCAACATGAAATATTATGTACTTGTTTAGTTTGGGGCAGTCAAGACTGAATGTCTACTTCCTGCCTTTTTCCAAGTTCATTTACAGGATGTACTGTTCTCAGTTTATGAACAACTTCCATGCAACATCCTTTCTATGTTAAAGACAAAACAAAATCAAGCTTAATGATGGTTGCCCCGATACTAATAGTCAATCAGTAGAATTTAAAAATTACTATTTAAAGAGAACAATAATTTAAGGTATAATAAGAGTTAAAGTTCTTCATACTATAAATGCAAAGCCTTTTGCTCTCCCAGCACATCATACAATTTAGGTATGACTGGAAAGAACCAGACTACAGTTGGTATATGACTGGATCACGATCTTTCCTAAGTCCACCATAGGCATGACTTCCATTTTCTAAAAATAAGGTCAACTCCTATTACCACATAACTATTTTGCAATAAGCTCACCAGTGTTTTCATTAAATTCGTTATATAATTAGTAGCCACTATAAAGCATTTAGCAGAAATTTCTCAAATTGTATGATGACTAAAAGAACCTAAAATGCTGGATTATAGACCTAGATCAGAAATCAGGGCTCCCCGGACAACAAAATAAAAACCTAAATATTTACATTTTAATTGAATTGTAATTTATATAAAAATACTCTATTGTCCACAGTAAACTGAGATTGCATGTACAATAATACACTGGACTCTCGGCTAACTAGGACTCCCCTGAGAATCACTCACAAATCTGCCCTGAACCTCGCGTTCTATGGCTGGGGTCCAAGGAAGAATGAGGACTGATGCTGTGTGAACTTTTCTCCGGGGATCGGACTCAGGCAAAGGAGATTCTGTATCCTGACCCCAGAGAGTTGTCCAGAGTTGTCCAGAGCACTGCAGTGACCTGTCCAAGGTGATCTCAAAATCCAAAGACACTCAGCCTCTACTCCACAGCCTTCAAGTCTTGGTTGGTGTTTGTGCTGCTAGGGAGCAAAGGCGAGGCCTGGGAGTGTCAGGCAGGTACTCCACACCTGAGCTTGTCACACATTTCCTAAAGAGACCCTCAAGAAACACATTTTACTCTGTGACTCCAAGTTTTAAGAAACAATACTTACCTTGACTAAAAGTTAGTATTTCTTATTCTCACCTACTTAAAAAAAAATTATTGCTACTGGTAACCCACCAAAATGATTTCATGATCTACTAAGGTATAATTTAATATGTCATTAACAGTAAAATGACTTTCTGAAAAAAGAGTTACAAATAATGAGTAAGCATAGTAATCTCTATTTTGGTCACTGACCTCTGGGTGTTAACGATGTCTGCTTCTCCACCTCTGCTTGCTGTCTCAGATTAGCTGGAATATTATTATATATTCTCTTATAATGATTATACACGGCAACTGAAAGTACCTTCTTAGCAAACGACTGGCCAACAACATACTTGTCGAGGTAGTTATAAATCTGAAAAATGATTAGGTATGAAAAATTCACTATGAGCTATCATGAAAACAAACACATTACAAAACTATATACTAAACAAATTTGCTTAGAGTTTCAAATTTGAAAAAAGATTCCCATTAAAAATGAAGTGTCTGGGGCTGGACAGATAGCTCAGAATGCTTGCTGTTCTTGCAGATGATTGGAGTTTAGTTCCCAACACCCACATCAGGAAGCTCAGTACTGCTTGTAACCACCTCTAGGGAATCTGATGCTCTCTTCTAACTATCACACACACACACACACACACACACACACACACACACACACACACACACCCCTACACATAAATTAAAAAAGTAATCTTGAAAAGATATTCATTTACCTGGATAGCAACTTAAAAGCTTTGTTCTTTCCTTTTGGTGGGGGGCAAACAGTGCTGGGAATCAAACCTAGGGACTTGGATGTGGCTTTGTATGTTCTGCCACTGAGCCACACAACTCAGCTTTGTTAATAAAAACTAAAGTTCTGTTTGGAACCAGACATCAATTTCTTGTGTTTTTAGTGAAGAAAGTTTTAACTGGACACAGTGCTGCATGTCTGTAATCCTATCATGTGGTCGGTAGAGGCAGGAGACTCTCATGTTCAAGGCCAGACTGAGTGACAATTTTTGTGTGACTATTACTTTAGCCTTAAATTACAATTTTCAAATTTTACTTACTCCTTACAAATCATATCTCTGCATTACTAAATTTGCCACAGTACACATGGAAACAGACACCCATGAATGCCCTAAACACAGCAGAATACAATGAAGCAGAAAATAAGAAGTAGCGTTAATTGTGCAGACCACAGAAAGATGGCCAGAACAGAGACCACAGGGCCAGGAAGTAAGACCTTCTGGGTTCTCAAAAGTACACACTATGTATTCAAAAGAACCAGTGCATACTCTGTCATATTTGACAGGACCAAATCACACTGTCTGAAATTTCTAGAAAGAGTCATCAAAACCATGTGTACACATAGAGCAGCCCTGAAAGTCGTCTTCTGATCTGCACACACACACACCATGAGCACATGTATGTGCACATTTTCACACACACACACTAAATTAAAAATGAAAAGACTCATAGAGCTAGGCACAGTAGCATATGCCCATAATACCAGCACTTTAAGGTGAAGGCTCCAGGATCAGAAGCTCATCTTCAACTACATAGGGAGTTCAAGGTTAACCTGGGCTATGTGGGACATGGATCTCAAAACAAAACAAAACAACCAAAAGAGGTAAAAACTTATAGACTTATTTAGATAGTGTCAGGGTTTAACATAAACAGGAAGAGTGAAGGAATGGAGTGTTTCGGGATAAAAGGCCTCAAAGATGGAGGAAAGGCTTCTACCTTTTTGGGGGGCGGAGGTGGCTTCTGCTGGAATGCCAACTTCACAGCCTCGGCTGCTGACTCTGGTTCTTTAACTATGCTTTTCTTTGAGTCCGCTTCTGATAGCACAACAAAAAAGTGATGACATTTTTCACACTTGACAAAACGGGTGGAAGCTGAAAAAGGTCAAGAGAGAAAAACTTTAGAAATAATTTCAATAGAGTCCACCTTAAAAACTTACTGTATCTAGCACTAGGTAGGCAGAGACAAGTGGATCTCTGAGTTCAAGGCTAGCCAGGGATACAGAGTGACTTCGAGGAAAGGCTCCAAAACTACAGAGAAACCCTATCTCGAAAACCAACCAACCAACCAAACACAAACAACCTTGCTGTAGGGCTGAGCTGTGCCTCAGTGGAACAGTGCCTGGGCTAGTTGACTTGTTACCCCCTGGCTGTGGCAGCACATACATTCAGGTATGTGCTTCTAAGCCTGAGTCCAATCGCTAGAACCCACATGGTTGGAGAGCGCCGACTACCAAAGATATGACCTGATCTCTATACATGCACACACATAAAAGAAATAAATGTATTAAAAACAAACTATTTTATTCATTTCCATTAGGTTCTTTTCCTGATCTAATATTCATTAAGAGTTGGCTGCAGCCAGGCAGTGGTGGCGCACGCCTTTAATCCCAGCACTCGGGAGGCAGAGCCAGGCGGATCTCTG